ATGGTAGTTTTTGGTATTAAAAGGGCTGTTCTATGGAGGTTTAAGGGCTGTTTTTGGATGGTGTTTTGGCTGGAGTTTTTCGAAAGAAAGACGAAGAAAGAATGACACGAATAGAAATTCCCTTAGCGTATAAGAAGCAAAAAACATTTCTCTCAAATCCCTCTCCTATTTTTTCCTCTTTCTCTCCTCCTTTTTTTCTCCTCACATTTCTCTTCTATTTATAGAAAAACTTTCGGAATTTTTTCAGATTTTTTTATTTTTTATTTTTTATTTTTTTTATTTTTTAATTAAAAAGAATTTTCACTTCCCATTTTTCTTATTTAAAAAATAATAATTTCCCACTTTCCTTTACTTTTATTTTTTAATTTCCTAATTTTTACTTTTATTATATTTAAATTCCCACTTTTTTTACTTTTTTTTTTATTTTCCATTTATTTTACTTTTCTTTTTTTTTTTAATTTCCACTTACTTTTACTTTTTTTTTTTTAGAAACAATTTTGAGCTACCTTTACTTTTTTTTTTTTAAATTTCGACTTTCTTTTACTTTTCGCTTTTTAAATTTCTACATTCTTTTACTTTTATTTTATTTTTTAATTTTCCACTTTCTTTTACTTTTTTATTAAATAATTTCCACCTACTTTTACTTTTAGTTTTTTTAATTATATATTTCTAATTTTTTTATTTTTTTATTCCCATCCGAAAATTTTTAAAAAAATATTTAAACTTTTTTTTTTGATTTTTTAATTTATTTTATTTTTAAAAAAAGATAAAAATAAAAATAAAAATAATACTAATAGTAATAATTGACCTTTTAAATTATTATTAATATTTTACCCTATATATAAATAAATAAAAAATATAACAAAGCTAAAAAATATATATTAAATTTCTGAAAATATTTACATAGTAGAAGGTGATAAAAATTCAAATATAGTAAAAAAATTAGGTGCTCACAGGCATGTAACAACAAGTGCTAATAAATTCATGTAAGAGCAACCTCGACAGTGGAAACTAGAACATGTAATGACAACTTCAGTTAAAGCAGGTAAGAATAAACTTGACAGCAAAAGGTAGAACAAATGATAACAATTTCAATTAAATACATATGATTAGCCTAAGAGTCTAAACCGGTCAAATATGCACATAAAAGCTCGTGTATACACTCGTCACCTCATGTACACGTCTTCCACATGATTCAAATAGTACAATCAAACACAATCCTAAGGGGTGGTTTCCCGACACAAAGTTAGACAAGATACTTACCTCAAACAAGCTAAATCAATCCACTGATAAGCCCTTCCCATGTAATCCAACTCCGGACGACTCGAATCTAGACAAAATGACTTAATATTATAAATAAAAGTCACATGAAGCAATTCTGGATAATAAAGATTCAATCTTTAATGAAAACAAAAGGTAAACTCAAAAAGTAAACCTCGGGCCTGCACCCCGGAACATGGTCAAACTCATAAATTTCGAATACTCATTCAATTACGAGTCCAACCATACCAAAATCATCCAATTCTGACCTCAAATCGACCTTCAAATCCTCATTTTATACTTTAGGAAAGTTTTTACTAAAATCCCCGATTTCTCCAATTCAATCACCAATTAAAGGATAAAAATGAAGATGGGATCATGACTAATGGACAAATCCGAGTCAATAATAATTACCACGATCCAAATCGTAAAAATTTACTCCAAAATCTCCCAAAATCGAGCTCTACAACTCAAAATATGTTAAAATGAACCAAACCCTCGAAATAGATTATTATATAATCTGCACAGGTGTTATATGTCATGATTGTGGGACCTACGTCGTGATCGCGAAGAACAAACCATCATTGTCTCTGAATTGGCCTACGCGAACACGATGCATGACCACCTTGCCACTAAGCGAACGCGGGAAGCCTTACGCGATCGCGAAGGCTTACAGCCTGAAGACCCCCCCCCCCCCCCCCCCCCCCCCAGCTAAACTCCCTTCTACACGAACGCGTCAACCTTAACACGATTGTGGAGACCACTTCACCCAAATCTTCGCGAACGCGGTTAACAACCCGCCTTCCGTCAAGGACACCCTACGCGATCGCGAAGAAGGAAACCAGAACTGAGAACCAGCAGTTCCAAAACATGGAGAAATTGCCCGAAACTCATTCAAACCCACTAATCCCACAGCATAACACGAACCAACTCGAGGCCTCAAATCACACCAAACAATATCAAAACTACGAATTGCACTTCAATTCAAGCCTAATGAACTAATGAACATTTTCAAATTCAAAACTTGCGCCGAACAAGCCTAAACAACTCCGAATAACCTCACATTTTGCACACTAGTCCCAAATGACACAACAGACTTATTCCAACTCCCAGAATCAAAATCTAAACCTGATATCTACAAAGTCAACTCTCAGTCAAACTCCGCAACCTTCCAAACCTTCAACTTTCCAACTTTTGCAAAAAATATCAAATCAACCTATAGACCTCCGAATCAACATCCGGACATACACCTCAATCCAAAATCACCATACGAAGCTATTGGAACCATCAAAACTCCCTTCCGGATTCGTCTACACACAAATCAAACTCCAGTCAACTCTTTCAACTTAAACTTCCAACTTTGGGACTAAGTGTCCCAATTCACTCCGAAACTTACCCGAAACCAAACCAACCACCCCGGTAAGTCAGATAACCCCAAATGAACATAGAAGAGGTAATAAATAGGGAAACGTGGCTACAATACTCAAAACAACCGGACGAGTCGTTACAAATAACAATCTTGCACGTATCATATTGCAATCCTTCTTCTTTATACTGATAGTTAGCCGCCGTAGCTCAATTCTCAATTACCTGTAATTAATTCGACTCAATCATAGTTTTATTTTGTTAGTTCTAATATTAATAATCTCAAATCAATTATTCTTCCCGAATAGTGTCAAGCCTTAAATTATTAGAACATTGTGTAATCCAATTTATATGGATACGATATATAAAATATGCGATATTTGACTAGCGAACATTCGATTTATATACTGGTTTTGCGCTCGTCAATATGCCCTGTGATTGACTTATTTTAGGAGCTCATTAACAACTAAACTTTTTTTTATAATGTGCATATAAGTTAAAACCATGTTAATAGAGTATCACGAATATACAGGGAGTGTTTATTCTTGAAGTTGAGCTTTGGTTTGAAGAATTAGCCTCAAGGGCAAAATCCTTCATAATTCATGGGAAATGAACTACACAAACAAAATCAAAGGTGCAAAGGTGATTATATTCACCTAAAGAATATGATTAATTAATACAAGTTAGAAACACGTGGTGTATACTCCCTCCGTTCAAATTAGACGAGTTACTTTTTTTTTTAGTCTGTTCCAAAATAAATGACACATTTTGAAATTAGAAAATAATTCAACTTTAAACTTTTCATTTTATCCACTTTACCCTTAATGAGAAGCTTTTATAACCATACAAATGCATAGCCCCACAAAGCTTTTACCCTTAAGCTTTTAATACCACAAGTTTCAAAAATCTTTTTTTCTTCTTAAGCTCCGTGCCTAGTTAACTACCTAATCTAAATTGAAACGGATGAAATAATATGCAAGAATGAACTAGAAAACGAGAGAATATTACCGAGTGCAGGAGGAATAAACATAATTCCTATTCCTTGATAATCTTGTTACAGAAGTACCTTCCGTGAATTGCCAGAAAATTCAAGTGGGTAGGGATACGAAATGGTTCAGTTTTAGTTTGATTCTTTTGCCTTTTTTTGAGAACTTGTATTGGTGTATGCTACTTAGAAATTTTCCAGAGAAGAGAAAGATTTGGTTAATCATATGACGTTTATAATTTACAGTGGATCGAGGTACTCTCGTGTCACAAATACAGAGCTTAGAATCGCAAAAGAATGACGTGGCGTGACAATCTAGTGATGGAGTAGTAATCTCTCGATTTCATTATATACAACGATATTTGGAGTGAAGTCTAAAAAATAAATCAACTTTTGGCACATACTAAAAATTATTACTAGATCTCGTATTCTTGGTAAAAGAGGTAATATAGTAAGAAAAATTCATGTTTCTATAATTATGAGAGTACTGTAGTGTCAATATAGCTAAATCCAACAATTATAAAGGTAATAACTTGGAGGAAGATGTAAAAGAAGTACTGACTATCCGAAATTAAAGTTTAATATTTATACATGTCTTAATAATTTTGGATTTCGGATCGGATCGGGTTACAATTATACCAATCCGAATCCGATCCGAATATTCAAAATTTTAATAAACACAATCCGAAATCCGATCCAAATATCCGAAATCCAAAATCCGAAATTAAACGGATCGATTCGAATATCTAATCCAAATGAACAGCCCTAGTAACGATTCATTGGAAATCATTTTGTGCTAACCAAATGTGGGGTCTTACCATCCAAATTAAATCTCTCTTTGGCCTCATAGTAATGACGGCCGTCTATCTATATGTGTCAAAATGTAATTGTTCAATGTTTTTCATTCCTATAATTATTAATTACCATAGACAAATTTTTACTCCGTCGCATAATAAAAATACAGTCAAACCTCTATATAATAGCCTTATTTGTTTCAATATTTTTTTGGATGATATAGTAAAGTGCGGTTATAGAAGACATATATTATAATATAACACAAAAATCGATTTCGAGAAAAACTTTACAATGACTGTTATATAAGAATGTTATTATAGAAATATCTGACTATATACTATTGTGTAAATATTTTATCACTATCATACTATAAAAAATAAAAATTATATACTATGATAGGGAAAAAAATTATACTATTGTGTGTGAATATTTTTACTAAATTAAATTTTTATAGTATGGTATTATCTGTCCCTTCTTTCCCTTTCCGATATTATAAAAGTGAAAACCACTCTCCTCTCCCGCCTCCCATCGTTTCATATTCCCTACAAAAACTCCCTTCCACTCTCTCCATTGTTTCATTTGCTTTCGATCATTTTCTTTTCTTCTCCGCTTTGCTCGATCATCTTCTCTTCTTTCCTTCTTTTTTCTCATTTTAACTTGAAAATTTTATTCGTTTTCTTTATGGTGGAAGAATTAGAATGATATACTACAACCAAAAAAGGCCATCCACCATAATTATATTCTCTAATAATCAAGACTATCCCTTAGCTTCTTAAATTCGACAACAAAAAAAATTCACTTTGATCCTAACATGTCTTCTGCTATGAATGATGAAGATTTCAGCGTACGGAAAAAGAGGTTCTCTGCTTATGATCGTCTCAGTTGTGAAGGTTCTCCTATGAAAATGTCCCCTTGGAACCAAAGTTGTCATCTTAATAATCCCAATTTGTGCAAATTTGACGAGGATGTTTCCAACAATAACTCCAAAATTTGCCTCATTGGTTCACTTGTTCGTGAAGAAGGCCATATATATTCTTTGGCTACTAAAAATGATCTTCTTTACACGGGTTCCGACAGCAAAAATATACGTGTGTGGAAGAATATGAAGGAATTCTCGGCTTTTAAATCCAATAGTGGTCTTGTTAAAGCCATTATTATTTCAGGTGATAAGATTTTCACTGGTCATCAAGATGGAAAAGTTCGAGTTTGGAAGGTAATGTCGAATTGTCTTACCTAAAAGTTTTAGCTATTAGAGAGAACAACCTTTAATCTATGTAATTGTATTAGTATATTTCAACACGCCCCTTCACCCGATTCTTTAACGGGCCAAGCACGTAAAAAAAGATTTTGATCATGGGTGGCATTGAAAATTTCTTTTTCGCACTTGTATTGCGTTTCGATACGTGTAGTACTAGTGTATTCTTGTATTTTCTATTATTAGATTTCTATTATTATATAATGTTTCTTTTGATTCGGTTATCTTATTTTTTGGTTGTGGTTACAACTTCTTTTTACGTGATTTCTTTTATTTATATACTTTTCTTGAGCCGAGGGTCTACACTGAGTATGTTGTTGGTGGTGGTGTTGGCGGCATTGAGAATTGAACAGGAACGTATCTTAAAAGTTTAAATAGTTGAAGAGGACACATTTTTGTCTACTTAAGGAGTTTAATTTCCACACGTTAACAAATTAAAAGATTTTTTACATTGTGAGGACCGTCATTTAAAAGATAACTTAAACTAACGCTTATAATAAGTGAAATTAGTAACATGGATAATGAGATATGTTATCTTACATCAAGTTAAAATACACATATAGTATATAAGTTTTGACTACTATCAGTGTATAAGTTACATCTTTTACTTAATTGTGTTACATCTCAACAGGTACAACCTAATAATCCTAGCAGTTATAAACCTGCTGGAACATTGCCAACATTCTTTGACATTTTCAAGGCTTCAATTAGGCCAAGCAACTACTTCATGTCAGCCAAACATAACAGAGCTTCCATTTGGATCAAGCATTGGGATGCCATTTCTTGTTTAAGCATGGACCATAACCATGGCCTTCTTTACTCTGCGTCATGGGACAGAACATTTAAGGTTTGGAAAGCTGACAACTCAAAATGTCTTGAATCTGTCAAAGCACATGAAGATGCAGTGAATTCTGTAGTTGCTAGTGTTGATGGCATAGTTTACACAGGGTCAGCTGATGGAACTGTCAAAGTTTGGCAAAGGGAATTTTCAGGTAAAATTATAAGACATGTTTTGGTACATACCCTTTTGAATCAAGAATGTGCAGTGACTGCACTAACAGTTAACAAGTCTGGTTCAGTTGTATACTGTGGATCATCAGATGGGGTTGTGAATTTTTGGGAAAAAGAGAAGAAATTGACACATGGGGGTGTACTCAAAGGTCATAAGTTGGCTGTTCTCTGTCTTGAATCAGCAGGAAATCTTGTTTTTAGTGGATCAGCAGATAAAACAATATGTGTTTGGAGAAAAGAAGGGTCAGTTCATACATGTTTGTCTGTGTTGACAGGTCATAGTGGACCAGTGAAATGTTTAGCAGTGGAAGAGGATAAAGAGTCAACAAGAAATGACCAAAAATGGGTGCTTTATAGTGGGAGTCTTGATAAATCTGTGAAGGTTTGGAGTGTTTCAGAAATGGCACCTATTATGCAGAATGGGCATGAGGATCATGTCAGGATTTAATCCCTACTTTTGTTAAGTGTTGATATGTTTTCTTTTACACTCCTTGCAAAGAAAGAAGAATACTAAAGATGGGTTATTATGTAATGGTAAAAGAGTATATAATTAAATGATGTGTAAATTTGTTGGCCATTGATTTCTATATAAAATTTTGGTACATAATGGATGAATAAAGCAACTACTTTTCCTTTTCATATGTTGCACACTAATTTCCAATATAACCAGTCCCAAGTTCCGATTAAGAAAGAGAATTGCAGTAGTTTGACAGCTAGTATAGAAATAATTTTAATGATTCGTAGAATAAAGCTTAAAGGATAAAGAAATTGCATATAATTATCCAAGAGTAATAGGCTACAACAATGTTGAGAAAAGACATCTCTAGTATTTTATTCATGTAAAAAGAAGCACAAAGTTGTATGTTATTCAGTAAAAAGGATGGACTAATCGGCCAACTTGAACAGATCCATAACCTGCTTCTATCTGTTCTCAACGAAGGAAATTAGGCAAATACGATCGAATTGACTATAAGAAATGCATCAACAGCCATAAAGATTGGCATTGAGGCGCGGAGTAATGAGAACATCTAATGGTGTTGCTTTAGGTATAGTTAAACCAGGGCTCTCCGTCAAGTCAATAAGTTGATCATCCACGGGCTTGGAAAACTCGAAAGCCTGAAGAAAACGTGCCAATGTCAAATGAAGAACTTGTAGCGCCAATGATACGCCAGGACAAGATCGTCTACCAGAACCAAACGGAATGAGCTCAAAATCTTGGCCTTTTACATCAACATTTGAATTACTCATCAAAAATCTATCTGGTTTAAAAGAATCAGGATCTTCCCAAATTCTTGGATCCCTTTGTATTTTCCATACATTTACAATTAAACGAGTTCCAGGGGTAATTTTATAGCCACCAACTTCACATTCGTCCATGGCTTCTCTAGGTCCTAAGAGAGGACCAGCAGGGTACAAACGTAAGGTTTCTTTAATAATGGCTTGAATATAGGCTAAGTTTTGTATGTCGGATTCGTCAACTTGTCTGTCTTTACCAACATGAACATCTATTTCTTCTTGTGCTTTTCGCAATATTTCAGGATTATTTAGGAGTAATGAAATTGCCCATGTTAGTGTTCCTGCTGTTGTGTCGCTGCCTCCAAGAATAAGCGCCTAGACCAAAAAGAATACTTTAAGTACAACAAATTGTAAAGGGTTTGACTTTTATACAATGACATTATTATCTTAAATTTATACTATCAGACCATATCATATATCAAAATTAATTAAGGGTAACTGCGTATATCCGTAAACCAATAACATGGAAAATTCATAAGTCAAGAAATTTTCTGCTAGAGATTAAATTACATTGATTATGCAAAAATTCATTATTAATATAAAGACTTAAAAAAGTTGATACTCTATCCATTTCAATTCATCGTGTCTTATTTTTTTTTAGTTTGTTTCATAAAAGAATGTTATTTTTCTATATTTAGTAAGTTTTTAATTCAAGATTTTCATTTTACCCTTAATGACACTTTCCCTTATATTAATTGACATGGCATGTTTGAGATGTACAAGATTCAAAAAGCAATTTTTGATATGCTATAAACACTTGTAGTTTAAGACAAGATTCAAAAGTTTTCTTTATACATCATGTCTAATCAAACTAAGATGCATAAAATAAAGTGGAGAAACTATAATCTAAACTTTCAGATAAGATCGTGATACAATATGTCCGGTTCTCAAAGGCAAGGAAGAATCGACTTTAAATAAGCGAAGCGCTTTTTTCTAAACAAAAATGACATAGAAGATTTAAGAACATACCAGGCAAGTGGACTTGATACTTGTATCAGCATCATATTGAAAATTGGAGAGACGGCCTTCTTCTTGAAGTGATAACATAACATCAATGAAATCTTGTGCACCTTCATTCTTACCCTCACTCAATCTTCTCTTCTCTCGGTGTTCTTGTAGCCAGCTTTCAAGTATAGAATCAAGCTCTTTAGCTGTTCTTTTCATAGCCTTTTCATGCCCTTGTATATCAAACCACCCCAGAATTGGAAAAGCATCAGATGGTACAAAAATTCCAATCAAATGAAAGAATTGATTTATTGCCTTTTGGCAACGTCTAGCTTCATCATCATCACAACTTGCTCCTGCACCAAAATAACGCTTTCCAGCAACCATTCTAACGATTACGTTTAATGTCAAATCCTCAAACCAATGTTTGAGCTCGACGAGTATTGGCCTGTAGTTAGAGGTGTCAAATTTAGTTCATAAAATAAGTGTAATTCGACCAATCCATCATATACGGATGGATTTGAATTGGAGGAAATGATCTTAGACCCAGTTACAGTTTGAATAGAAAAAACAAATTGTACAAAACATCTCCTATATTTTATTAACCAATTTCCTATATTATATTTTATAGCGATTTTCATGATAAGGACAATATAATGCAAAAAGAAAAAAAAAACATTTGTAATGACCACAAAATTGATCTCCCCGTTGAATTGAGAATAAAATATTTGACAGGTCAATAATCGAACATAGCCCATCAAACAAAAATTTACTCTCTCTATAATTGCATCCATTTCTCTTTATAAAGATAAAAGAAAAATTATTTTGTTTAATTTGGTAATAGAACATATATCTAAAAGGCAAAATAATTTTAGAAATGATTTTTAGTTGGAGTAGTGGCGTAGCCAGATGGAGTGAAAAACTGAACACCATTCATTAGAAAATTATATTAAGTATATAAAAAATTATACTATGTATATAGATCAAAAATTATTTTTTTATAAATATATATTAAGCCTTGAACACCCTTTGTAAAATTATTGGCTTCGCCACTAATGACACGTTATTTAGAAACGTTATGTCATGATTCAAATTTGACCCAACCGGCCTATTTGACAGCTTTACCTGTAGCCTGAGTTGTTGTTGACCCACAATTTGTACAGCTCTTGGATCCCCATCTCCACTTCTGATACTTGAACATGCTTAAGAGTATCAAGCCTACGATTCGAAAGAAGTTCATACATAGCAATTTTCCTCATCTCACGCCAGAAAGTGCTATAAGGTGCAAACCCAAAAACTGCATAACCATAACCCATATGCTTTGCAGCAACTGTTGTGGGACGGCTAGCCAAAGCTTTGTCATTCAAAGTAAAACATTCTTTGGCCATTTCCCAACTGCTAACCACAAATGCTCGACGACTGCCTAGTCTTATACTAAATGCTGGACCATAATTGTCAGCCATGGCTCCGAGTGTTCGATACAGAAGTTGTTCTGCGCCGCCTAGTAAGTGAAGGTGGCCTATAATTGGCCATGCACCAGCTGGTTCAGGAGCATGTTTTTTAGAAGTAGAGTTTTTATTTTTGAAAAGAAAATATAAGAAAATGACTACTCCAAGGAGTGGTAACAAGAAATAGGTGTCCATGTATTGATATCTTTGTGAAAGAGACTAATTGGGGAATGAAAGAAATGAGGGAACTTTCAAATGAATTTATAGGTTTGTTTCAACAACTTTGGATGAGTTATATTGCATGGAGCATTCTCTAAACGTTAACGGCATGGTACATGTTTGTCTTGCTACATTGACTTTAGCTTCATTGACTTTCTATAGAATTATGGAGTACATATAAATGCACACCATGTGTAGAACCTAACCACTTTTAGGGTGTGTTTGGTATGAATAAAAATGTTTTCCTCGAAAAATATTTTTCTTGAAAAATAAATACTAGTTTTCTTACTTTTTTTTGGTGTTTGGTTAGACAACATATATATATTTTTTCTGTAAAATATAGCAAATACTATGGGAGACGAAATAAATAAGGGTGGGGAAGGTGGTAGGTCGAGGTCTAGATGTCGGAGTGACGGTGGCGAGCATAGAGGTGGGGCGGGGCAGGGGGTTGGTGTGGGGAGGTGGAGGGTGGGAAGGCTGAAAAAACAGTTTTGAAAAATATTTTTCCTCTTTTTTGGTTGGGAATACAATATTTGAAACTTATTAATCAAAATTGTCTTAGATTTGTATATTACCCGACCTAAGTGTGTTTTCCTTCAATTTTATATACAATTCATTATTAGTGCCTTAAAGATTTCAGTTAGACCCTTTTTCTTTTCTTTTCTTTTTCTCTCCTCTCCTCTTTCCCTATTCTCTGTCGCCTCTCTCCATATACAATTCATTATTAGTTCCTTAAATTAAGTGATTCAGTTACACCCTTTTTCTTTTTTCTCTCCTTTCCACTTTTCCTATTCTCTGCCGCCTACGAATTAAAAATAAAATTTCGTACAAATTTGATACATCTACAACAACATATAAGCTAAAAATAAATTTTATATAACTAATTATATAGTATACAAATTATTTATAAGTTATATACAACTTTCGTATATCAGTTTTACCCACTTAAATATAACTAAAATATCATACAACTTAAATACAATTTTTATAAAAAATTTGTAAAAATATCATACAAATTGTATGTATTTTGTATATGATTTGTATATATTTTGTATGTAGTGTATTCTTATTCCTCTCTGAAATTTTATATTACACCCTGTGCGTCCCAAGGTGACGTAATGGATATGAGACTTGTTAATCATGATTTAAATGATTTTAAAGTCATAATATGGCTATATATGATATTTGTATTGAAAATATGAAGTTTGAGAAAAATCGGATTAAAGTTGCGGAAACACCGACTAAGGATTTGCCCTGTAACAGAGCTTTTTGAGAAATAACTTTCGTGTGCTATATGAGGTATTTTTGGGATATATTATATACCAAATTGAAGGTCTTTTAATGTAGTTTCCAACGCACTTAACCGTTCATTCATACGACATCCGGATAAAAAGATGTAAGCGTCGGAAGATGGGCGAATCAGAGGGTGCCAAGCTAGCACCTTTTGACTTTTCAAAAGTTGATATATATTTTGTTACCTCGTCTCTCTCTTCATTTTTACATAGCATCTGACCAGAGGACACCATAAAAAAGGTGCTTGAGCTCTCTAATAGTGCTTCAAACAAGACTATCATCTCGGACACGAAATCAAGAAGTGATAACATTAAAACGATCCATATGACGTAAATATCGCTATATCACCTCTCTTTTTCTTTGTA